CAAATGTAGGAAAGAAACTGCAGGGCCCTGATAGTCTGTAATGACGGTTTGCTTAGCCATATTGTGGTATCCACTCCTGTGCTGGATTACCTATATTGTACATGTCATGCATTCAGTAATAAAGAAATTGAGGGGTCTTGTCTGGATGGGTCGCAATTTGCACTGATGTGAATGGCAGGTGACCTCCCACATGCCCAACTGTTTGTTTAGAAGGGAATGCATACAAGGCTCACAAGGCAGGGTGGGTGGGTAAAGAGCTAGCGATGTGTTTCAATTCGATTTTGTACTCAACTTGCTTTCTAATGTTTACGACGTTCCTGTACATAATTTTTGCAATATCCAAAATCGGAAAATCTCATCGATCCATTCAGCGTAACACTTTATAACACAAGTAAGAAAATAGCATATCTCACAAACTAACATAAATCAATTCTAGAAACACGCTTTTTTTTCTTAATTTTGTATATTAAGAAAATGTCATTATTTGTCATATACGGATGAGAAATGTTCCCTCTAGAAACATTAAATTGAAAGACTTGTACTTTCTAACTCTCAACCGTCTTAAAATATTAGTCAATTTCGAATGGCTCTATCTCCTAAACTATTCAAGCTACGGCGCTGAATTTTGCACAAGAGATTGTATGTTTTTTACTCGTTACTTTGAGTCTTAAAAGGAGTTTCTCCTTAGTCAGAACCTGCATGAAATGGAAATTTTCTACACTTCTAATAGGAAAAAATTGACGTTTGTGGCGATAATTTTGCAATTTTCCAAAAAAAAGCTAAGAGTGCTTTTGGTTGAAGGTCATGCCCAAGATTTTACAGGAGTATGATGGTTTCCAATAAAGAGGGCAAGATTTTCATTTAAAAGTTTTGAGCTTCTAGAGATTATAATAAATTCCGATTTAGTTCTTGAAAGGGAGAAACCTGAATAACTTGCCCATGTGTGAATTCTGTTTAAGGTTTCTACGATTATTTTAGTTGTTACTCGAAGATGTTTGCCGCAGCATACAATGGAAATATCAGCGAAGAGAAATAATTTTCTTGGTTCCTCTATGATACTGCTTATTTCATTTATTGCGATCAGAAAAAGGAGCACGCTAATAACAGCCCTGAGGGAGGCCATTCATCATTTCCCTGCGTGTTGACATTTTATCAAACATGCGTAACACGCAGATATCTATGTTGCATACAATTTTTCAAAAAAGCCAGTAAGTTGCCTTTAATATTCATTGAGATACAATTGCGTAGTAGTCGGGGTTTAAAAATAATTTCGTAAGCTTTCTCAATATCAAGCGAAACAATTGCATGCTGGTTAATTGCTAGTGCATCACAAATGTCTGTGTCGATGCTTATTAGATGGTCGTTGGTTGATCTATATTGTCGAAATCCATTTTTTAAGGAGGATAGTAAGTTTCTTGTTTCTAGGGTCCATCTGATGCTGTAGTTAACCATTTTTTCTAGTACTGTGCAAAGACTACAGGTCAATGATATTGGTCTAAAGTTTCTGGTTCTAGATGGATCTTTGCCTGGTTTCGGTGCGGCAATTACAAGAGCTTCTCTTCATTGTTCAGGGAAGGATTGGGAGGTCCAGATGCCATTATAAATTTTAAAGGTATTCAATGGCACATTTAGGAAGATTCTTCAAGAAAATATTAGGAATATTCTTCAAGAAAATATTAGGAATATTATCAGGACCTGGTGCAGAGTTTTTACTACTTTTTAAAACATGAAGGAACTCATTTTAAAACATGAAGGAACCCATCAGGAATTCACAGTAAATGAATCATTGTTGTTACTTAGGAGTTTAGGATGCGCTTTGGATGCGCTTTGGATGCGCTTTGGATGCGCTGTGGATGCGCTGTGGATGCGCTTTGGATGCGCTGTGGATGCGCTTTGGATGCGCTGTGGATGCGCTGTGGATGCGCTGTGGATGCGCTGTGGATGCGCTTTGGATGCGCTGTGGATGCGCTGTGGACTCGTCGGACTCTTTCGACTACTTTGACAATATAATCATTTGACTACTTTAATTATCAAGTTTAGTTTGTGCCAAGCAAGTCGATCAAGTGGGGATTCGTCCCAGCATGTCAAGCAATAAGAGAATTGTCCGTACAAGTCCATCAAGTAAGAAATCTGCCCAGCAAGTCGATAAAGTGGAGGATCGACCCTGCAAGTCGATCTGACTATCCTGAGTATTATAACTATTTTAACTGTTTTACTATTTTGACCAGGGTGACCAGGTTGACCAGTTTGACCAGTTTGACCAGTTTGATTAAAATTTGTTGTAAGCGTGGCCGCGCGAAGATCTGCCTTTACAAAGACGAGCTTCTTAACGAGGTTTTATTTCTGATATTATTCACTACGTAAGCAAGTACGTGATCCTGCATTGCATTAAATGAAAATATAGTGTACAAGGAAAGTCTCTCTGCACTGGGCCAAGTCAGGACCTCCTATTAAGAATGACAGTGCTATTGTTAGCAAACGGATCACTGGGAAACAAGTGAAAGGTATAACACTTGCAACTTATGTTATGATTGTGGTGAGTGTAGTATTTAAGTTTTCTTTTGTTACACGCTAATACCAACATAATTTTTGTTGCAAGCACCAAGGACCACTGCAAAGAGACTTTTCTGGTGTGCTGTATTTGTGCCAGTTTTGTAGAAATACACTGTCTTAACAATAACAATCATTACTAAATAGGACCTCCAGATGTACCTTTCTTGGTTGCTGTTGATGTAACTGGAACAAATTCTGTGAATGTAAGATTCCAGGAGCCAGAACAACAAGACTCTGCTTTATGCACCAAATTCAAAGATAACTTTACAATTATGATTATTCATGATCCATTTGTTTAGGGCAAATATGTTGTGTTAACATGAAACTAACATTCGGTAGTTCAATGGAGCTGCTCAGAAGCCTTCAGTCCTTTAGCTGAAGAGAGAGAAATTTTAGATATGAAACACATGGAATGTCACATAGGTGATCTGATTCAAGGATATTATTTCCGAGTAGCTTGTGGCAACTTGAATGGATATGCAAAGTTTAGGCAGTCTACACCTACATCAGTTATTCCTTCCAGTAAGTAACTCATAATGTTGCTTTCAGAGAGTATTGAGAATTTACATGAAAGTTAAATGCATAATAGTAATATGATATTGACGTTCTTATGTATTTTCTGTTATACATTATCCTGAAATTCTTCTCAATTTGGCTTAAATATTAAATCATTGTATGATCTACAAATAATGATTTTCTCAAACACATTTTTTCCTTCAATATATTAAAATTGAAAATGATAATTTTAGGTTGGCGGGAAGTTGAGGGTCGTGAGCCAAGATTTGCAGGACGCCTGCAACTTCTTGATGACCTGTTTTCTGAAATAAGATGCTCAAGGCCAGAACATGCAGCAGAAATAAAAGCTACTGTTCAAGCTGGAGAAACTCCTGGAATTCAAAGATGAAATCAAAGAAAGAAAGCTACTATTAAACAACTCTTTACTGTGGCATCAAAATTTCAGAAGGTATGTTTATACATATGTACTCTTTTGATGATAGCATTAATATTCACTTTTACTTCTGGCTTTCCTAGACTTTTCAGGGGTTTTTCATAAAATATGTAATGATGAAGAGGAACGTACGGTATTTCAGCAAATGCTACGGTGTGTTACATAGGAATAGGACATATAAATTTAGTGTTACATAATGCTGATTTTCATTTTTTTTCTTTATTCAGTATTTTCTTAAATAATTTCTTTTCTTCAGACTTACACTAAACTAAAACTTTAAAATATTAACAAATTTTATTTCAAAACGTATAAATAAATTAAAAAGTTACGATTCATAAGTCGTCCCAATAAATACTTTTTCCTCAGTAGTATGATTGAATCTGTTATATTACAAAAAAGAAAAATATAAAAAACTGATCTACATTCTAGAATCAAATTAAATTGGCACAGTAGACTCTCACTCATGCAACCATGACAGTGTGTTCACTTCTTTTTGACAGAAATTTTCTCGCCTCAGTGACCTTCTTTCACTCAAAAATTGTCCCCAATCTTTTTGTTTGATATAATCCACATCACCACCCTGTGATGTGGATTTATTCAGAATGAACCCATTCATGTAAGTAAACAGATTTCCATCTTACACAAATTATTACAACAATAAGTGTTGATTTTCATGTTATTACAAAAATTTGATTTTTCACATATCTCTTCATAATTTCATCATTTTAAGTGTATTTCTCTGTCATTAAAGCTAAATCTATTTCAATTATCATTTGATTTATGTTATGTTGAACTTAAACATTGAATTGAATAGTGGTACCCAAACACCTTGGAATTTCAGTAATAATAACAGAACCATTTTAAGAATTACTTAAGTTTCAAGTCCTGGTGACAATGGGACCTTATTTTAAAACATTTTTTTATTTACAATTTTATTATTTTTTACTTTTTATTCTTTAATATAATAATAAAAAAATTCTAAATAAATAAATTAAACTAATTTTTATACATATATCCAAAACGAATCTGTAACTGGATTGATAAATTTATATTTTAGATAATTACTAATTCATGATAAAAATTTGATACTAGAGTACATTGGGGAAACTAAGCATAAAGGGGAAAGTGGGGGTGACTCAGCACTCACTTGAAATTGACAGATATCATTTTCTGTATTTATTTTTTCAATATGTGGTATTTACAATATTTACGTTACTTTAATTACTAAAAACCTTGAAATAAAACAAATACTTTCTTCCAAATTTTTAAATTATAAATTTCACTTTTCAAATTTCAATTTCATTCTCTCAAAATTCAGGGCACTAGGCTTCAGCCTAATTAGACAATTGATCATGTCTAATCACTGAATAATAACTTTTCAAATGGTGACGAATTTTTGGCAAGAGAAATCATGTACATAAAGCACTTCATATTTACAAAATAAATAAATAAATATTATTAATGTAATTTTATTATATCAAGAAAACTTGTATTTTAAGTCAATTTTGAAATATATTTCCTTCAGGGGTGTATTTCTGGCCCGTTTATTGTACCATGAAGATAAAGTGTGAGTAACTAATGAAGACTTCTTGCCTGTAATTGAAGTGGATGAAACATTCCTATTTGTATATATAATGATTTTCACTGGCCAATGAAGGTATATGTATTATGACTGACCTGACTGACCTGACTGACCTGACTGACCTGACTGACCGGACTGACCTGACTGACCGACTGACCGGACTGACCTGACGACCTGACTGAAGCCTGACTGGACCTGATACCTGATGACCTGACTGACCTGACTGACCTACGAGCCTGACTACCTGACTGACCTACTGACCCTGACTGACCTGACTGACCTGACTGATCTGACTGACCTGAGGTGACCTGAACTGACCTGACTGACCTGACTGACCCTGACTGACCTGACTGACCTGAACCTTACCCCATGACTGACCTGACGACGGGATGAAACGGGCTGACTGACCTGACTGACCTGACTGACCTGACTACCTGACTTACCTTGACTGACCTGACCTGACCGACTGACCTGAAACCATACCTGACACCTTGGACTGACCTGACTGACCTGACGACCTTGACTTACCTGACTGAACCTGACGACCTGACTGACCCTCTGACCTGACCTGAGCTACCACTGACACTGACGGGTCCTTGACTGACAGGCGTCAGGTCCTGAGTGCAACGCTGAGACCCTGGAATCAGGTCCAGTCCAGACCTTGCAGTACACTGACGTCTCCAGTGCGAGAGCTGTGACCCTGACTGATCACTGAGCTCCTGAAGTCAGGTCATCCCAGGCTTCACCGAGGTACTGACGGCGAAGCCTGTAGCTGTCTGCACTGCCCTACTTGTCAACTCTGCAACTGATCATCAGG